TGTGTGTGTGTACTGGTTTATATATCCTGGTGGGGACTTAAACTTGACTACACACAGACTCATGGGGACTTGTGTCATGGTGGGGACCTAAATTGAGGTCCCCACGGGTAAACGAGCTAATAAATCACACAGAATTAAGAAAAAAATTGAAAATCTAAAATTGAAAATCTAAAAATGCACAAAGTTTCCTGTGAGGGGTAGGTTTAGGGGTAGGGTTGGTGTAGGACAATAGAATATACGGTCTGTACAGTAGAAAAACCATTACGCCTATGGAGAGTCCCCACAAGGATAGCTGACCAGACATGTGTGTGTGTGTGAGAGTGTGTGTGAGAGTGTGTGTGAGAGTGTGTGTGAGAGTGTGTGTGAGAGTGTGTGTGAGAGTGTGTGTGAGAGTGTGTGTGAGAGTGTGTGTGAGAGTGTGTGTGAGAGTGTGTGTGAGAGTGTGTGTGAGAGTGTGTGTGAGAGTGTGTGTGAGAGTGTGTGTGAGAGTGTGTGTGAGAGTGTGTGTGAGAGTGTGTGTGAGAGTGTGTGTGAGAGTGTGTGTGAGAGTGTGTGTGAGAGTGTGTGTGAGAGTGTGTGTGAGAGTGTGTGTGAGAGTGTGTGTGAGAGTGTGTGTGAGAGTGTGTGTGAGAGTGTGTGTGAGAGTGTGTGTGAGAGTGTGTGTGAGAGTGTGTGTGAGAGTGTGTGTGAGAGTGTGTGTGAGAGTGTGTGTGAGAGTGTGTGTGAGAGTGTGTGTGTGTGTGTGAGTGAGTGTGAGCGTGTGCGTGCGCGCGCGTGTGAGTGTGAGCGTGTGCGTGCGTGCGCGTGTGTGAGTGTGTGTGTGTGTGTGAGTGAGTGAGTGTGTGCGCTCTTAACAGTCTTATCTGACTTCATGTGTGCAGGAGCTGGCTCAGAAATACGTGTCAGCCACTGAGTTCTCTCTGGAGGAGGTGATCTTCACTCTGGAGAGCATCAGAGCAGACACCAGCAGGAAAGATGAAGGGAACAAGCAGTTTAAAGAGACAGCAGTGGCCTCGCTGGAGCTCCACCTGCCCAGAACAGCAGAGGTACCCATGCCCTCAGATTCATTCACTGTCGTGTGATCATGGAACTCATGATTTGTTGTCGTTTCTTTAAGAATAACAGAAGCAGAGTTCATTTAAAAACCAAGCTGGACATCACCGCGCAAGAGCTGAAGAAACAGTAAGTGTGAAGCTCATTCCTATAGAAGCCCGGAATAGAAAAATAAAAGAATTTATTATCTCACAATTCTGACTTTGTTTCTTGCAATTTTGAGAAAATGTCAGAATATCAAGATGAAATAAACTCATGATTTTGAGGGAAAAAGTCAGAATTGTGAGATATAAATGTGCGAATCTGAGAAGAAACGTTTTCATTCTGAGGAAAAGAAATAGGAATTGTGAGATAAAAACATTATTACCTTTTTATTTTTATTCTCTGGTGAAAAAACAAAACAAAACAAAATTGTGAGATATAAACAATTGCTAGGAAAAAAAACTCTAAGATAAAAAATTGCAATTACCTTTTATTTTTTATTCCGTGACGAAAACTATAAACAATTCGTGGCAAGATTTAAACTCAGAATCGTGAGATGTTAACTTGAAATTTCATGAAAAAAAAATTCATGAAAAAAAAAAGTTTATATTTCAAAATTCTGACTTTTTTCTCAGAATTGCGAGAAATAAAGTCCGAATTGTGAGACATAAAGTCTCAAATACCTTTTTTTATTTATTCAAGAAAAAAAAAACAGAATTATGAGATATAAAGTGAGATTTGTGAGAAATTGCGAAAATGTATGTTTCGCAATTTTGACTTTTTATCTCAGAGTTGGAAGAAACAAAGTCCGGAGATAAAAAGTTTCAGTTACATTTTAAATTTTTTAAATTCTTTGTCATGTCTGATGTAATCGACTCATGTCCTGCGTTTACGGCTCATCCTCTGTGTTTGATTGGAAACTCTTTCTGCTTTGAAGGATCAGTGAGGAGTACGGCTTCACACACTTCAATCTGATTTTGTCTGGGAAGAAGCTGGCTCTAGGTAAGCGGCTGGTAGCTTTATTGATAGATGACTGAATCACTGCATGTTGTAACGCGAGGCGTGTTGGTTGAAGGGAGGAGGCTCGATGAACAGAACGTGAAGAACAACAGTAAGATGATGGTGCTGAAGGTGTCCTCGCAGCAGGAGAAGAGCGAGATGCTGGAGGAGGAGGAGAAGAAGCGCAGGCAGGATGAAGGAGTGCAGAGAACGCAGAAGGGTTTCCAGATCCTGTCAGAGAGAGGTGCATTTCATTCAGCATTACAGATTAAATACACACAACGTAGAAAAACACACACCGACAAACACAATATAACACCGTCTCTTATACCTTATTCATATTATTAAATTCCTATGTATATATATATATATATACAGTTTATAGAACATATTTGTATCATATAAAGATTGACAGTTTGAACATACACACACACATATATATATATTAGTGCTGTCACATCAATTAATCGCGATTAATTGCATCCAAAATAAGTTTTTGTTTACAAAATATATGTGTGTGTACTGTGTAGATTTATCACGTATATATAAATACACAAACATACATGTATATTTTGTTTTATTATTTTATTTATTATATTTAAATTTATTTTATTTTATATTATTTTACTTATTTTATTAACTATGTTATTAACTGTATTTTTAATTGTATTGTTTCCGTTTTAGTTGCTATAACTCACTAAAAAAACTACTTATGAAGATTGGCAATCATGCCTTCGATTTCATATAGAATACAACTCTTTTGATTCTTATTGTTATCTTGTTGATTTTAATGGAATATGACTCATTTGATTCTTATAGAATATGACTCATTTGAATCTTATAGAATACGACTCATTTAAATCTTATAGAATGCGACACCTTTGATTCTTGTAGAATATGGATTGTTTGATAGATTTATCACGTATATATAAATACACAAACATACATGTATATGTTTAAGAAAAATGTTTTGTTTATATATAAAATATAAATATTTATATATAATATAAATTATATTTGAATATAAATATATATATATACATGTCAATATTTATAAAATATATACATGTATGTTTGTGTATTTATATATACATAATAAATATACACAGTAGAATATGACTCATTTGAATCTTATAGAATGTGACACCTTTGATTCTTTTAGAATACAGATTGTTTGATTCTTAAAATATGACTCATTTGATTCTTATAGAATATGACTCATTTGAATCTTATAGAATGTGACACCTTTGATTCTTTTAGAATACAAATTGTTTGATTCTTAAAATATGACTCATTTGATTCTTGTAGAATGCGACTCATTTAAATCTTATAGAATGTGACACTTTTGATTCTTGTAGAATATGGCACTTTTGATTCTTTTAGAACACAAATTGTTTGATTCTTAACATATGACTCATTTGATTCTTATAGAATACAACTAGTTTGATTCTTAGAATATGACTCATTTAATTCTATAGAATACAACGTCTTTGATTCTTATTGAATGTAACATTTGTAATTGTATTGCTTCAGTTTTAGTTGCTATAACTGGCTAAAAAAACAACTTCTGAAGATTGGCAATCATGCTTTTGAAAATAAATCATTGTATCATTTCCATTTCTGTATCCATCAGACGGGAGTGAAGATCCAGTCTCCACCCCGTTCTTAGAGATCGCGGATCAGAAAGGAAATCCGCTGCAGATCCCTGACAGCGAGAGGAAGGTGATCACTTCACATCCTGAAGTTTAAGTTTCAGTTATTTTAGTACATCAAGTTAAACTAAATTAACTTTATTAATTTTATTTCAGTTTGCAATTAAGGAAAATGTTTGTTTTATTATTTTATTTATTATATTTAAATTTATTTTATTTTATATTATTTTACTTATTTTATTAACTATGTTATTAACTGTATTTTTAATTGTATTGTTTCCGTTTTAGTTGCTATAACTCACTAAAAAAACTACTTATGAAGATTGGCAATCATGCCTTCGATTTCATATAGAATACAACTCTTTTGATTCTTACTGTTATCTTGTTGATTTTAATGGAATATGACTCATTTGATTCTTATAGAATATGACTCATTTGAATCTTATAGAATGTGACACCTTTGATTCTTTTAGAATACAAATTGTTTGATTCTTAAAATATGACTCATTTGATTCTTGTAGAATGCGACTCATTTAAATCTTATAGAATGTGACACTTTTGATTCTTGTAGAATATGGCACTTTTGATTCTTTTAGAACACAAATTGTTTGATTCTTAACATATGACTCATTTGATTCTTATAGAATACAACTAGTTTGATTCTTAGAATATGACTCATTTAATTCTATAGAATACAACGTCTTTGATTCTTATTGAATGTAACATTTGTAATTGTATTGCTTCAGTTTTAGTTGCTATAACTGGCTAAAAAAACAACTTCTGAAGATTGGCAATCATGCTTTTGAAAATAAATCATTGTATCATTTCCATTTCTGTATCCATCAGACGGGAGTGAAGATCCAGTCTCCACCCCGTTCTTAGAGATCGCGGATCAGAAAGGAAATCCGCTGCAGATCCCTGACAGCGAGAGGAAGGTGATCACTTCACATCCTGAAGATTTCTCCAATGAGGAGATGATTAGTGTGTGTTGATGTCTTGTGTTCTCTCGTCTTGACCTCTTGTCAGGCTCTGATCCTGGCGATGGGTTTCCATGAGAAAGGTCGAGCTCTGTTGAAGAAGAGGAACCACAGCGCCGCTCTGTGTCACCTGCTGCAGGCCGACGAACAGTTCAAGTACGACTTTATCAAACATCACTGACAGCATGAGAACCAATCAAACCTCAGAATTCACTCAAGTCAAGCTCAGTTTCACTCCATTGTCAACAGAACAAAACACCGTCGTGGCAGCTTATAAACAGCTGTATATATGCAAAAAGACGATCATAATACAATCAGTATGAAAATAAATGCATGGACAAAAAGTGCAATAACAGTTCAGTATGCAAAGATTACAGTGACATCAGTGCTGTCTTCTATAGAGCTGTGTTATAGCTGATTCAGATCTGTTTCAATACTGAACTTTGCAACATTGACACTGTTATTGAACTGAATTGAATCAACATTGAACCAAATTGAGCTGAATAATGATTCTATAGCTGATGTTGTATTCTTATAGAATATGACTCATTTGATTCTTATAGAATATGACTCATTTGATTCTTATAGAGTATGGCTCATTTAAATCTTGTAGAATACAACGCCTTCGAATCTTGAAGTATATAACGCATTTGATTCAGAGAATATGAATCATTTGACTCTTATTGAATATGACTCAATTACGTCTTGTAGAATAAAATGCCTTCGATTCTTATAGAATACGACGCTTTTGATTGTTGTAGAATACAACTCTTTTGATTCTTAGAATATGACTCAGTTGATTCTAATGGAATATGACTCATTTAAATCTTATAAAATGTGACTCCTTTGATTCTTTTAGAATACAAATGGTTTGATTCTTAAAATATGACTCATTTGATTCCTATAGAATACGACGCCTTCGATTCTTGTAGAATACAACTCTTTTGATTATTAGATTATGACTCATTTGATTCTTGTAGAATGCAATTTATTTAAATCTTAAAGAATGTGACACCTTTGATTTTTGTAGAATATGGCATTTTTGATTCTTTTAGAATGCAAATTGTTTGATTCTTAAAATATGACTCATTTGATTCTTATAGAATACGAACGACGCCTTTGATTCTTGTAGAATACAACTCTTTTGATTCTTAGATTATGACTCATTTGATTCTATAGAATACAATGACTTTGATTCTTATAGAATGTAACACCTTTGATTTTTGTAGAATGTGTCGTGTTTGATTCTTTTAGAATACAGCTTGTTTGATTCTTAGAATATGACTCATTTGATTCTTATGGAATACGACTCATTTAAATCTTACGGAATGTGACACTTTTGATTCTCGTAGAATATGGCATGTTTGATTCTTTTAGAATACAAATTGTTTGATTCTTAGAATATGACTCATTTGATTCTTATAGAATACTACGCCTTTGATTCTTGTAGAATATAACTCTTTTTATTCTTAGATTATGACTCATTTGATTCTTATGGAATATGACTCATTTTATTCTTATAGAATGCAGCTGGTCTGATTCTTATAGAATATGACATATTAGATTTTTTTTAAAGAATTTATATCTTATACAATACCGCTGCTTTGATTCTTATAATATGACTTATTTGATACTTGTAGAATATGACTCAGTTAAATCTAATAGAATACAAAGCATTCAATTTTTTTTTTTATATGACTTGATTGCTTCTTATAGAATGTGATTCGATCGACTCGTTGTAGACTTGAGGAGTGTTGATCCAGCGCTGTGCTGTAATCATCAGACTGTGTTCTTCTCCTGTTGTTATGTGTGTGTTGTGCAGTAAGTGTAACTCGGCGCTGCTGAAGACGGTGGATAACTACGCCGTGCTGCAGCTGGATGTGGTTTGGTGTTTTCAGGCTCTGCAGCAGCTCGACTGTCTGAACGACGCCAGACAGCGTCTGGAACGAGCCGAGGAGTGCTTCAAGAGATGCTACGGAGAGCAGCAGAGCCGGCTGCAGCAGATCAAGGTTTGACGAGCATCTGAACGCTGAGCTTCACATCACACACACACACACACACGTGTGTTTACAGTGTATGTCATGTGTTTCTGGCTCTCAGGGTCACACCGGAGGAGAGGACGTGCTGTTTCTGAGGCTCTATCTGCTCCAGAGTCTGCTGGCCTACCATGATGGCAAGAAGAACCAAGCGTTCAACAAGCTCAGAAACGTAAATCCTGACATTTTTAATTATTGTGTTTCCATTATTGTCTTTTTACCCTGATGACCAAACTACAAAAGAGCATTAATTGCTGGTACTGCAGATTGTGATTCATCCCAGTGATCTGAATCTTTTGGTTCTGTTCAGTGAAAAGACTCGTTCAGAATCGTTCACTGATTCATTCATTGAATCTTTCTGAAAGTTACATCGTTACACCAGTAGATGGAAACCAGTTAAAGTTCGTTTGAGAATTCGGAGTGAATCTTTGAATCATTCACTCAACACATTTGTTCAGAAAAATCAAACCCACTTCACGTGTATGTTCATATTAATGCGAATAATTTTGAAAATCGAATAAATAAAAAAAAATTAAATAAAAAATACATAAATATTTTTTTAGAGATCCAGTAGCTAAAAAATAGACACAAACTACATTTAAAAAAATCCAATAAATAAATAATAGCTATAAAAAATTTAAAAAAATAAATAATAGCTATAAAAAATAAATAATTTTAAAAATCCCATAACTAAAAAAAATATATAAAATATATAATAAAATATATATTTTTCATAAAACATTTTATAACATAATTTTAATTTAAAAAGCCTTTTTAAATAACTGAATAAATACATTAAAAATCCAATGAATAAAAAAATTATAAAATTCAATGAATGTTTTATTTTTATAGAATATGTCTCATTTGATGCTTATGTAATTTTTAGTATGCATTTTTAGAATATGACACTTTGAATCTCATACAATATGATTCTTTTGATATTTATATAATACAACTTTTGATTCTTCTAGAATATGACTCGTTTGGTTCTTCTAGAATATGAGTCGTTTGATTCTTCTTGAATATGATTCGTTTGATTCTTGTAGAATGTGACTCGTGTGTGTGATTGTGTGTGTGTTGGTCAGGTGGAGGAGCTGCTCGGTCAGCTGTGTCTGGACCCTGAGAAGATGCTCCAGCTGATGACTCTGGGTTTCTCGGAGCAGGAGGCGCGTCTGGGTCTGAGAGCCTGTCGAGGAGACGTGGAGGCAGCGGAGCGGCTCATCTCGCAGAGGAAGAAGGTGCTGCAGCACAAACGTGTTAATAAATCACCACAGCCTTTACTCACGTGAGCTCACAGTTAAACATGAGCTGATCTCTCATCAGGAGAAGAAGGAGCTGAAGGAGCGAGAGCGGGAGAAAAGGAGATGCCGTCTGCAGGACATCAACACACTGGTGGAGCTGGGCTTCAGTAAGAGAGATGCCGCCAGAGCCCTCCATCAGACCAGAGGAGACGTGGACAAGGCCTACACGGTCCCAACACACACACACACACTCACTCACTCACTCACACACTCACACACA